TATTTGTAAAATATTGAAAGGTGTCATTTTATGGGAAGTTTGGAATGAGAGAAATAGAAGGGCCTTTGAGGGTAGTTCCTTGCCTTTTGAGAGACTATTAATTACCATCAAACATTTGATCCGGTCTTGTTGTCTGTGACAAAAGAGGGATAGGGTATCTCCAAGGTTGATGTTATGGCAAATCTCAATAGTTTTTTTCTTCTCGGGTGTGTTAGAAGTAGACCACGAAGTTTTTGGACTGCACCTTCTAATGGATGCATGAAACTCAACTTTGATAGTAGTTCCCTAGGTAACCTAGGTATTGCTGGGATTGGTGGTGTGTTGAGAGATTGTTTGGGTAACATTATCTTTTCCTATGTTGGTCCTATAGGGGTTAAAACTGTGAATTTTGCTGAATTAAGTGCTCTTCTGAGTGGGGTGAAAATTATGATTGATAGGAATCTTGGTAGAAACTATTAGATTGAATGGGACTCTTTAAATGTTATTAAAAGGTGCAAAAAAGAGTAGCAAGTTCCTTGAGAACTTCGTTCCCTTTGGTTGCACGTCATGGATTTGGTGGAACCTTCGATAGTTTCCTTCTCTCATGTTTATCATGAAGCTAATTCATTGGCTAACTCCTTGGCTAAAGGGGGTGCTTCCTTGCCTTCGCTTGTTATCTCCTCTAATGTAATTTCTTTTCCTTATTCATTAATAAAAGCTTGGAAGATTTGTCAAAAAAAAAAGAAAAAGGGATGAACACAGGAGAGAGAAGGGGGAAGGGAGATGGGTTGATCTCTTACAAATCCTCATCGATGCCCCGAGGATTTACAGAGAGAGAGGAGTTAGAGAGAGAGGGATTTGGGAGCGGATCGTCGTCGATTGCCCCAACGATTTGCAAAGAGAAAAGAGAGAGAGAGGAGATTTGGGGATGGAAGTGCAACAACCGTTTAAATATGGTAGGCCATGTCCGGTGTTTCATTATCGGAGGACAACTTAAAAAAAATAAAAAAAGTAGGAGAGGGGAGTGGTGCTAATGCCCATTTGGTTATTGACTACCCCCATAGTGTTTGTATGTAATTTGCTCCAATTAATATGAGATAATGAAGGTCAAAATTGGAATAATAAAAAGTTCAAAGAATATAAATGAAATACAATAAGACACTAAGCGCATGAATAAGAGAGATATGTTTAGAAGGAAGAGAGTAAATATGGTCATAAAATAGAAGACAAAAAGACACTTGGTGATAAAATAAGAGATGTCCTCCTCTCGCTTTATATATAATTGATTGATAATTGATAGATAGATACTATAAGCAATCACTTTGAGCGAGCTAGGATTATTAGTTTGTCTTGACAGTTGGGGTTTAAAAATGGGCAATGGAATGGAAATAATTTGTTAAGAGGGCTTGGAAAAATGTTAATCTAGATTGGAAACGCCCAATCCAGATCAAGAATAGCTCTAGGACAACGCGATCAAAGATGATAGCGATAACTAGTTTAGTCTTGATAACTAGTTTAGTCTTACTATGGATTGTCAGATGTTGTTAAAGGACTGGCAATCCACCATTACAAAAGAGGCTGATCATCGACTCAAATGAATAATTGAGCCTTGTAATTGTTATCAAGCTTTTTACATGTTTTCTTTTTGGCTTTTTATATCTTCTTTGCTATTTTGTTTTTCGTCATATGATCAATAATTTAGAAAATTATGCCTAAGGCAAAAAAAAATATCGTTTTTTGGCCAACATTCTAATTTCTATGCAAAAAACCCAAAAATCAGGAAAGGGGTTGGGGTCGTGGTGGCAGCATCCCCACAACCTGTTAATGCATCGTGGTATCCATTCCTACCACTGACACCCCCAATTTAACACCTTCAAAATGCAACTCCCCAATCTATTGAAAAAAAATGGGTAGGGGTTTGTCTTCCCAACTGAATTACCCAAAAAAAAAAAAACCCAAAAATATACTATTCTCTCGTTTTTCTTAGATCTTGATTGGTTATAGTTTAAAATATGTCCTATGAAGGATTTGATCCTTCTAGGCCATCTTATACTCGACTTGAGGAAAAAAATTCCATTCCATTGAAGATTATGACTGAAAATCTTTGGGCTTTTTTGCAGAATTAATAAAAAATAAAAAAAGGATTCACTAGGAACTATTTATAGAATGAGAAGGATAGAATGAGACCATTTACCTTTGATACAAGGTGGTCACATTAATCTTGACCATTAGATATGAAATTGGGTGGCTGTAATTATTTTATTGACCAAGGTCAAACTTCAAAATAAAATCTCTCGAATTTTGTGACACATCCAAGCTATCAAATTTAACATCAAATGGTTGTAAGGAATTATGACCATCTTGTATCAAAGGTAAAATGGTCTCATTGTATACAATCCCTTATAGAATATATTGTTTTGTTTTTATGAAATACGATATTTCTTCAATAAAAAGGTCAACAATTGTTGATTGCGAAATGAATGTAATGGGCAACATACACTCAGACAATAGACAAGTTTTCAGTATTTACATATTTTTGGTTGAATAATGAAAAACTAAAATACAACACCACTATTTTTTTAGAAATATAAAAACCTAGAGTTCTAATTTTTTTAAGGCTAAAACTAGCCGATCTCGTTGATTCTTTGATCTGGATCACCGATCCGATATAGTTTCAGGGATAGCAGATTGGTCACCGATATAGTTTCTTGGACAGTAAGCATAGTCGGTAAGGCAGCATCTATGGGTCGGTTTACTCGGCCGATCCGAATCAGAGATCCGTGGTTTTAAACCAAGGTTCGAAAAATCAACGATCCGATATGGAATCGAGTGATCCAGATCAGGAACTGTCGAGGATGTTTTGGATTACGCCTAAAAACGGGATTCGTCTGAGACCGGTGAAAAAATCACCGATTCTCTGGTTTTTGCGGCGAGTCTCATCGATTCCTTGCATAAACAGTGAAAAAATCATGTGATTTTCACTTTTTGTTGTATTATTGAACCGTGACAAGTTTGCAGAGCATTATTGCTCACAATAATACATCAAAACATTATAAAACAATGGATTGAATTCAAAATTTTGAAAAAAAAAGAGTTACAAAATTTTCCGCCATTTGATAAATGGGTGCGGTTTGTATAGAGCCGAGGCTCTAAACAATCAAATTAGAGCCCACCTTCAAATACTGTTGAGAGATGTGGTTTCAATACTAGAAATCTTTGACTATCCTTAAAATATATATTCATCTTTAATTATAAACTTTAAAGCTTAAAAAATAGTGTAGATCGAGCAGATGTATGAAAACTTGAATACCTTAAAAATTAACGGTAAAAAATATGTTACAAAATGCATTATTTCCAAAACTTGAAATCCATATTTTCCCCAAGTCTATGCATCTTGATGTAGAGATGATCAATTTGAAGACATTTGGGCTTCAAAACAACCTCTTCTAGTGAAATTTTTGAAGTAGGCTCTAATTTGATTGTTTAGAGCCTTGGCTCTATATAAACTTTTCTCTTGATGAATTACAGATGAATTAGAGAGTTTTTGGGATCAAAATCAGAGGGGTTTCTAAACTTCAAAGTGTTATTGAGATGATTATAGTTGAAAGTTTTCTGATTCAACAATTATTGTGCTCGATTTTTGAAGAAATCGAGCTCCGACAATGTTTCTGAGTACGATCTGCCAAAGTGATGATTTCTGTTGAAATTGGACACCATATTGAGTGATACCTGAGAGTTTTGGAAGCTCATGATGTTATTAAGGTCATTGTGTAAGTTATTTTTGTTATTAACAAAGTTTTTACTTATCAATTTATGAAGAAATCGTTACTGATTCACGAAGAACCTTAATTTGCATATAATTTCCGCCATTTGATTAATTTTAGGCAAAATAACTAGTTTTTGTAATCAAAATCAGAGTTGTTTTGAAGTTTAAACTGTTACTGAGATTATTGTAGTTATATTTTTTGTGATTAAATACCTATTTCATTGATTTTTGAAGAAATCGAGCATCGGCAATATTTTTTGAAATTTTTGATCTGCCAAAGTGTTGATTTTAGCATAAATTGGGCACCATTTTAGATGATATTAGAGGGTTTTTGAAGCTCATGATGTTCTTCAAATTATTGTGTGAGTTATTTACTTTATTAACAAAGTTTTGTTTATCAATTTTTGAAGAAATCATGATTGATTCACACCTACCCGAAGAACCCCAAATTTCGAATAAAAAATTTCGATCAATATAAGTCAATTCAAATCGAATTGAGGTATTTATGATGATCCTCATTATTTCAATACATATATTTATTAGTATCATGATTTAGTGTTTGGTTTTTTTTTTTTATGATCCTCTGTGTATGAATTTTCTTGAATTTAGGTACATAATTAAATTTCCTTTTACATCAAATTCACATATGTTCTTATTTCTCTCAGTATAAGAATATATATTTTTCTTTTTTATTGTAATTATAATTATAATTAAAATTGCTTCATACATCAAATGTATGTATGTTCTTATTTCTCTCAGTATAAAAATATGTTTTTTTCTATTTTCATGTAATTATAATCAAATGGTCTAATTCTATATATCATAAATGTATTTTTATGATGCATCAAATATATTTTTATGATGCAATAAAAACTTATATTTTTTAATTTTATCATTATTATTTTTTATGTACTAAAATATATCTTTTTGAGTCTTGATATTGTAGTCCATGTATGATGATATACTTCATCCATGATAATTTTATGTTTGTGAGATATATTTAATGGTTAACAATTGTTCATATAAGAAAGAAAATTTCAATATTCACATATTGATGCGAAAAATGAAAGTTCTTAGTGAGGTATTTTTATTTTTTATTAAAATTTTAAAAATAATATTTATAATAAAATTTAATAATCTTTTCAAAATTTTTTTTTAAGGACAAATCCGACTGAATTGATTTTTTAGCACTCGATCCGGGAGACCTATCCGTCTTTAAACCACTGTCTTAATTTCCAAACCTCGAAGTCTTCAAGCCAACGACCAGACATGAGACATTTCTGGAGGGAATAAATCTCGGGCATGCGATATGACACAACTAATACGCATCCAACATAGGGACGAAGAGCGAGAAGAACGGTTCGGTTGAGGGCAGAGGACTTGTAGTTATAGAGAGCGAAACAAAAGAGGAGAGAGAAACGAAGAAGAGGCGAAAATCCATGGAAGAGGAGAAATGGGTGCCCTTACAATGCCACTCCGTCTTCTGCAACTCCTCTCTCTGCACCCCTCATTCTAAGAGTAGGTCGAGAAATCTCTTGGCCTATGATGGAACCTCTCACCTCTATGTGTGGGACTTTTCAAAGAGATGTGTACACTGCCTCACTCTTCGCTTTGAGAATCAGGAGCCAGCCGGCATTCTAGCTGCTTCGACATTCAAGGTCACTTCTTTTAACCCTATTCTCCTCTTTCCAATATAAACCTTTGTTCTCTCTCTCTAAACTCTCCTTTCCGGTACAACGTGGAAACTGCTTTTTACATTCTGCTTCAGACTTTTCTCTCCTTGCTTTCTTAGTTTCCAGCTTATTATGGCTAGATTGACTGATCGAGAAAGTTATGCGATTAGGTGATGTGACAATGATGAATGGCTTCGTAGAGCTAAAATAGAAGCATTGTATTCGATATCTTTCTCCTGCTACTACTCCTCTCTCTTTCTGTCACACACACAGACACACACAGTTATTGTAAACCTCATTGCTTTCTCAGAATCTCCCCTAATTTCTCTCTCTAAAGTTATTTGCTGTAGTTCCAATTAAAATGGGGTACTTTTTGGATTGGCAAAGAGGGGAAGGCGTACTTATTGATGAGCTTTGAGAGTTAGAATAGTACTTATTGATGGCTTTGAGTGGATATTGGGTTTATTTGTTTATTATTTTTAGAAACTTTTATTGTGGGTTTATTTCAGGATATAGATATTTAGGAAATTAGGATGGGGATGGATTGGCGAGTTTAGAACGAATGAACAGTTACGAGAATGAATGTATATCTAGGATTTTTGTAGAGGTTTATAGGGTTTTTGAGATAGTTTAGTTGTTTTAGAGAGAGAAAGGTGATTTTTGGACTTCTTAAAATTGATAAGAAATTGAGAATGCGTTGGGGTCTTGGTGGTAGTACCATGACCCCATGAATGAAGTCTCGGACTCTTCTCACTAAAGGGTCGGGCCCAAATCCCCACTGTTACACCCAAAAAAAAAAATTTGATATGAAATTTGGGAGCTTTTGTCTCTTCATTCATGTTTGGTCCCTTCTCTAGCTATTGCACAACATTCTTGTGCTCGGTGGTTGATTATTGTATGCTACGCAGTCTTGTAACCACAACAAATGATACAGCAGTTTTGCGCAAGGCTGGATCAACTCAATCTTCATGTGATGGTGCTACAACAGCATGGAAGGGTACTTGAAATAGAAGGTGGATGTGGGAAGATTGATAGTGGTGGATACAATTCCAACATCGACCATTTCCATCAATGAACAGCTCCGGTTCAACAAATCTCAATGATCGACTTCTTATGTTCCTTGAAAAGAATCGAGAGCTAGATCAAATTGGTTGAATTAAGGTAGATTTTCCCAAGTTTCATGGACGGTTGAATCCAGGGCTTAGGGAGGTGGATATGGTATTGAAATATAAAGGTTCAATCAATCGAAGAAGGTAAAGTTGATTGCATCAAAGCTATTTGGCTATTCTCTTGAGTGGTGGGTTGGAGCTCAAGGAGATCATGTGAGGAAAGGCAAGGAGAAAACCAATACATAGAAGAATTTGAAGCAAAAGATGATGGGAAAATTCCTACCAGTAAACTACTAAAGGATCTCACCAAATGTTGCTGAACTTAAAGCAATGGAGGAGGACTTTCTGTGAGTACGCCAACGAATATTATATACTCACAAAGATGGTTGATTTGCACAAAGGTGGAGATGAGAAGGTCGAGCGCTATGTAAATGGTTAAACTCTCTGAATTTAACAACAACTGGCCTCAAAAGGTTTCCATAAATTAGGTGGCTATCTCTTTGCTTTGAAGTGGAGGAGCTTATAAGTAGTAGGTGATTAGGATTTCAGAGAAGCTCTTCTTCCAAGATGTTGCAACAAGCATCTTCATCTTCTAAAGGAAACACCAATGGCACTAGACTTCTACACAACCAAACCCTAAAAAAGGGGGATGTAACTATGGAAAGGGGATTACTTTTGCAAAAAAATAAAGAAGCATGCTTTACATAGTTACTGGGATCGGGAGCGAGATCAGATCCTGGATTGGGATTGGGACCGCGGGACTGAGAATTCCAATCAAGATCCTTACACTGTGAGTTAAAGTGTGATCCCGATATGAAGGGAGCGTGGGAATGAGAGTTGGGATTGAGATCCTGACACTAAGAATTAAACGGACTGTGATCCCCATATGAAGGGAGCACGATCCAAATTTGTCTATGATCAAATGATAAAGCATATGGAATAGAGGTCCGTCCAGCTTAGAGTTGAGGCTCCCTAGAGAACTTAGCTAAGGTGCTCTAGCTTGAGAACAAAGCACGTTGAATGATATAGTTAATTGTTTTATTCAAAAGTCAAAATGCATTTTCATCAAACACTATAGCTTCTTTCATGCCTAAGGACTAAAGCTATAGTGTTTGATGAATATGCTTGTGATCCATACACAACAACTCAAATATGCTAGTGGTTCATGCTTCCGCTATAAATGAATACTGAAATGTGTTAGCGATCTTTGGTACTGATGTAAAAGAAACTCGATTCCACGTTGTTCGAGGCTCGATTCCAGTTACTCATGGAGCCATGATTGGATGAGAGGGATCTCTATCTTATCGACCAAGGATATAGATCCCCAATGTTGCAGATTGAGATAGCCAAATTCAAAAAATTCCTGGAATTGAGATCCCTTGTCCCGGAGCATAGGATTGAGCTTTTGGAGTTGGAGAGACCATCTTCCTTGGAGATCTTTTTTGGGTAATTCAATGGGGAATGCATGCCCCTAGCCGTTTTTTAAATGGTTAGGTTTGTTAGTGGGAAAAGGTGTTTTTTGTTTGAAAGCGTCAATGGGGAGAGGGCCCTTACCCTTGGTAGGAATTGAGCCTAGGATGGCGTTGCAAATTGTCACGCGCTAACCAGTTAAGCCCGGGCTCTAAATAGTTAGTAGTTTTCGAATGTGTAAGTGGGAATGGAAACCTAGACCAGCTGCTGAGGCTATTATGAAATGTCTAAAGTGGCAATAAAATGCTTTATAAACCAAGACCATCGAATGAAGAAAGAAGATGAAGAAGAAGAAGTGGGTACCTTGGAAGGACATGAGATTAAAACTCTTAATATTGAGGAACAAATTCTTTCTAAACCAAGACCATTGAATGAAGAAAAGTGGCTGAATTACATCATCTTTCAAACCACGTGTACTTCATCTAGCAAAGGATGTTCTCTTATCATAGATGACGGAAGTAGTGAGAATATTGTAGCTCGTGAGGTGGTGGACAAGCTACAAATCAAATAAGAAAAGCACTATAAGATCCATTGGTCAGAAGAAGGAGGTGAGGTACTTGTTACAGCTAGATAATTCCTTTTTGAATAGGTTCATGTTTAAGGACAAAGTATGATATGATGTGGTTCCTATGGATGCATGCCACATATTACTTGGCGGCCCATGGCCATATGATCGTGACATCACTTGTAGAGGCAGGAGAAACACCATCTCCTTTACTAAAGATGTCGTATAGGTAACTCTATTGCAAATGATTGAGATCAGAGGGCCCAAATTTTCTAAAGAGGAGGATTTTGGTCTTTTGTGTGCGCAACAAACAAACTAGGGTAGTCTATGCCCCAGTTGCTAAGGAAGAAGCACGTCTAACACCCACCCCAAAGCCTATCATTTGGCGCCAGAAGAGTTGATATTTGGTTGCCACTAAGAGGCTACCCGAGCACCATAATGACTTCATACTATGGTCGGGTTCACCAAATCTAGCTCACTGCAAAATGAGTCTGAAGGAGCACGAAGAGCTTTCTCGCCAAGTAACGAAGTTGCTGAAGAAGAGATTGATTACAGAGAGCATGTCCTGGCATGTTGTGCTTGCTTCTCATACCTAAGAAGGATGGCGGTTGGAGAAACAATTCAACAAAAAAGGATGGCAGTAGGAGAATGTGTAGACAATTGTTCCATCAATAAAATCGCCATCAAATACTGTTTTTCATTCCCACAATTGCATGATTAGCTGGATATATTTCTTGGTGCAAATTATTAGATTTGAATTCGGCCACTGGACGAATGGAATGCGGCATTCATCTTTATTAGGGGCTTGGTGATACCCTTTTCATGCACCATATGACTTAGATATTATGTTGTTCATTAGTAGATTCAATGTTGTTTATTTTGATGATATTCTTTTATTTTAGAGCTTGTGATAACAAACACTTGGGGTCACTCATGTCAAGTCTTGAGTGTGTCAAGGAGAATTATATATCAACCACAAACATTGTTCCTTTCTAGTGGACAATGTGGCCTTTTTAGGCTTCGTTGTGTCTGCTTATGGTGTGAAGGTTGAGGAAGAGAGGGTAATAGCAATTCAAGAGTGGCCAACCCCAAAGCATTCACTCAAGTCCGTAGTTTTCATGGCCTTGCCACTTTTTATTGGAGATCTATTCAAAATTTCAGTACCCATACAAGCCCAATCACAAATTGCCTGAAATGGGGAGACTTCACATGGTTTCTCAAGGCTAAGAAGAGCTCTGTGTTGATCAAGCATGAGATAACTGAAGTGCCTGTACTTGCTCAACAAGATTTCATTAAGTTGTTTGAGGTAGAATTTGATTTCACTTGAGAATGATGGTGTCATCTTAACTGAGAAGCTTAATTATACTTGGCAGAAGTACTCCATAAACGAAAAATCGCTATGTGCAATAGTTCAAGATCTTTGACGTTGTAGACATTATTTAATTCATTAAGAGTTTGTTTTGTTCTCAGATCATTAGGCCTTGCGCTATCTCAATTCGCAAAGGAAACCAGGCTCTAAAGATGCTAAGTGTGTAGCATTCCTTCAAGAATAGACTTAGTCTAACATAAAGAGGGAGTACAAGATAAAGTGGCTGATGCATTAGTGTGAACAGTAGTTTTGCGTAATATTCTTCGTGTAGAAGTCAAGGGGTGGAGAGCACACATGAATTCATTTTGAAAATTTGAATGATGGGTTTCTCTTCAAAGGAAGCGGATTATGCATTCCTATGTATTCCTCAAGAGAGAAGATATTGCATGAGTTGCAAAGTGGAGGGTTAGGTGGTCACTTTGGCTGTGATTCGACTCTCTCTATGGTTGAAGGAAAATATTTTTGGCTAAGGCTTAAAAGATATATGAATTAATCTGTAACTAGATGTTGTACTTGTCAACAAGCTAAGGAG